TATTTTACATCCCAGCGTATTAAAGGAAGTGCCCCTGGAAATAGGTGATGCATTGGTGGTCGTCTTCCAAAATTCTAAAGACAGTTCCTGCAGATTGGAGAATGGAAGATGTATCTCCACTATTTAAAAAGGGAGAGAGATAAGAAAAAAAAAAGAATTACACACCAGATAACCTAACATAAGTAGTAGAGAAAATGCTAGAGTATAAAATTGTCTGGGTGTTCTTCTGAGGGCCAGGCAGTGACTAGTGATATACGGCAAGGATCAATGCTTGGGCCCCAGCTATTCACGAAAGTTATGAGTAACTGGTTTGAGGAGCCATATACAATATTTCCAAGTTTGCTGATGACATAAAACTCGGTGGGATTGTGAGTTGCGTGGTAATTTAGACAAGTTGAGTGATTGGGCAAACACATAGCAGATGCAGTACAATGTTGCCAAATATAAAGTTGTGTACTTCAGTGTGAAAAACAGAAAGGATGAGTATTATGTAGAAGGTGATAGATTGGGACCTGTATCCTCGTACACCAGTCCTACAGCAAACAATTAAGATGACAAATGGTTTATTGGCCTTCATGCAAGAGGATTTGAGTTCAGAAGTGGGGATTCTTACTGCAGTTATACAGAGCTTTGATGAGAACACAGCTGGAGTAGTGCATGCAGTTTTGGTGTCCCTACTTAAGAAAAAGTAAACTGGCCATAGAGAGTGTGCAGCAGAGGGTCACTAGACTGATACTGGGGATGTTAGGACTGTGCTATGAGAACAGATGGGTCTGTTTACATTAGAATTCAGAAGGATGAGAGGGGATCTGATTGAAACATATACTGTCCTAAGAAATCTGGACAGAACAGATGCATGGAGTGTGTTTTCCCTGTTGGAGAATCTAGAACCATGGAATTGCAGTCTCAGGATGCAGGGTAGGCCATTTACACCTAAGATGAGGAAAGATTTTTTTCATTTAAAGTGTAGTAAACATGTGCCATTTTCTACCGCAGAAAGTGAAGTCACTGAATATGTAGAGTCATAGAGCTGTACAGCACGGAAACAGACCATTCAGTCCAACTCATCCATACCGACCAGATTCCTAAATTAATCACATCCCATTTACCAGCATTTCGCCCATATCCCTCTAAACCCTTCCTATTCATATACCCATCCAGATGCCTTTTAAACGTTGTAGTTGTACCAGCCTCCACCACTTCCTCTGGCACCTCATTCCATACATGTACCACCCTCTGTGTGAAAAGGTTGCCCCTTAGGTTCTTTTAAATCTTTCCCCTCTCACTTTAAACCTATGCCGTCTAGTATTGGACTCTCGCACCCTCGGAAAACATCTTGCCTCTTCAACCTATACATGCCCTTCATGATTTTATAAACCTCTATAAGGCCACCCCTCAGCCTCCGACGCACCAGGAAAAATAGCCCCAGCCTACTCAGCCTCTCCCTTTAGCTCAAACCCTCCAACCCTGGCAACATCCTTGTAAATCTTTTTTGAACCATTTCAATTTTCACAACATCCTTCCTATAGCAAGGAGAATAGAAATGCATGCAGTATTCCAAAAGTGGCCTGATCAATTTCCTGTGTAGCCGCAACATGACCACCCAACTCCTACACTCAATGCACTGACCAATAAAGGTAAGCGTACCAAACGCCTTCTTCACTATCCTGTCTACATGGGACTCCACTTTCAAGGAACTATGAACCTGCAGTTAAGGTCTCTTCGTTCAGCAACACTCCCCAGGACCTTTCCATTAAGTGTGTAAGTCCTGCCCTGATTTGCCTTTCCAAAATATAGCACCTCACATTTATTTAAATTAAACTCCACCTGCCATTCCTTGGCCTATTGGCCCGTCTCATCAAGTATTTACACAGAGAGTGGTGGGTGTGTGGAATGCGCTGCTGGCAGTGGTTGTGGAGTCAGATACATTAGGGACATTTAAGCAACTCTTGGATAGGCACATGGATGATAGTAAAATGTAGGGTATGCAGGATAGTTTGATCTTAGAGTAGGAAAATAGGTTGCATAACATCGTGGTCCGAAGGGCCTGTACTGTGCTGTACTGTTCTATGTTCTATTGAAGAAACAGGTTTTCTTTTTGATTTTAAAGGTATCAAGGGGCAGGTGGAAAAGTGGAAATATGGCATTGAGGTAGGAAATCAGCCATGATCATATTGAATGGCAGAACAGACTTAAAGGGCCTGGTGACCTATTCCTGATCCTCATCTCTGTTTTGATACAATTATCCATTTCAGTGTGTGAAAACAGATTCGCAGAGTAGTAGTTTGATGGTGATAGACTGGGAAGTGTTGATGTGCAAATGAAACCTAAGTGTCCATATATACCAGTTACTGAAAGTAAACATGCAGGTGCACCGACTATTTTGAAAGGCAGTGGTTATGTTGACCTTGATTGCAAGGGTATTTGAACGCAGTATCAAGGACATCTTCATGCAGCTGTACAGAGCCTTGGTGAAACCACACCTGGAGTATTGTGTCCCATTTTGGTCTCCTTATGTAAAGATATTATTGCCTCCCCCTATTATAAAATGGTGATTGCCTAGAGGTGTTATCGCGAGAGTATTAGTCCAGAAACTAGGCTCATGTTCTAGGGAGCCAGATTCAGATCTCACCACGGCAGAATTTGAATTCAGTAAAAAAAATCTTGAATTAAGAATCTATTGATGATCATGAAACCATTGTTGATTGTTGAAAAAACCTATCTGTCTCACTAATATCGTTTAGGGAAGAAAATCTGTCATCCTCACCTGGTTTGGCCTATTTGTGACCCCAGACCCACAGCAATGTGGTTGACTCTCAAAGAAGTGAAAATGGATGGACCAACTTGCATTGACCTAGGCACTGGAAAAGACTACTGCAGAAAAGGCCCTTTTGACCCTGCGATGTCCTCCTTACTAACACCTGGGGGCTAGTGCCAAATATTGGTGAACTATCTTATACTAGTCAAGCAACAGCCTGACATAATTATATCACAGAATCATATCTTGCAGACAGTGTCCCAGACACCACCACCACCTACTATCCCTGGATACATCCTGTCCCACCAGCAGGACAGACCCCAAACAAAGTAGCAGTACATTTGTATACAGTCAGGCTGGTGTTGCTTGTAAGTTCTTAACATTGACTGCAGATGCCATGAAGTTTCATGGCTTCAGTTTAAACTTGGGCAAGGAAACCTCCTGCTGATTGCCATGTACTGTCCTCCCTTGTTTGATGAACCTGTCATCCTGATGAATCTGTTGAACAGCACTTGGAGGAACAATGAGGGTCGCAAGAGCGCAAATCGTACTCTGGATGAGACGATTTCAATGTCCACCACCAAGAATGACTCAGCAGCAGCACTACTGACCAAGCTGGTCGGGTCCTAAAGGACATTGCTGTTAGACTGGGTCTGCAGCAAGTGGTGAGGGAACCAACAAGTGGAAAAATCTGCCTGCTGCAGATGCGTTTGTCTATGACAGTATCAGTAAGAGTGACCACCGTACAGTCCTTGTGGAGATGAAGTGCTGCCTCCACATTGAGAATACCCTCCAGCGTGTTGTGTGGCACTATCACCATGCTAAATGGGACAGACTTCAAACAGATCTAGCAACTCAAGACTGGGCATCCATGAGACGCTGTGAGCCATCACCAGCAGCAGAATTGTACTGCAGCACAATCTGAAACCCTATGGCCCGGCATATCCCCCACTCAACCATTACCGTCAAGTCAGAGTATCATCCTGGTTCAACAATGTGCAGAAGGGCATGCCATGAGCAGCACCAGGCATACCTAAAAATGAGATGTCAACCTGGTAAAGCTACCAAACAGGACTATTTGCTGGCCAAACAGCATAAGCAGCAAGTGATAGAAGAGCTAAGCAGTCCCTCACCCAATGGATCAGATATAAGCTCTGCAGTCCTGCCACATCCAGCCGTAAGTGGTGGTGGATAATTAAACAACTCACTGAGAGGGGAGCAGGCTCCACAAGTATCCCCATCCTCAATGATGGATGAACCAACACATCAGTGCAAAAGATAAGGCTGAAGCATTCGCAACAGTCTTCAGCCAGAAGTGCCAAATGCATGATCCATCTCAGCCTGATCCAGTGGTCACCAGCATCACAGATGCCGGTCTTCAGCCAAAATGATTCACTCCATGTGATATCAAGAAACGGTTGGAGGCACTGGATACAGCAAAGGCCGTGGACACTGATAACATATGGTATGAAGACTTGTGCTCCAGAACTTGCCGGTCCCCTAGCCAAGCTGTTCCAGTACAGTTACAACACTGGTATCTACCTGACAATGTGGAAAATTGCCCAAGTATGTCCTGTACACAAAAAGCAGGGTAAATCCAACCCATCAGTCTGCTCTCGATCATCAGTAAAGTGATGGAAGGTGTCATCAACAGTGCTATCAAGCAGCACCTGCTTAGCAATAACCTGCTCAGTGACGCCCAGTTTGGGTTCCAACAGGGCCATTCAGCTCCTGAGCTCATTACAGCCTTGGTTCAAACGTGAACAAAAGAGCTGAACTCCAGAGGTGAGGTGAGAGTGACAGCCCTTGACATCAAGGCCACTTTTGACAGGGGGTGACATCACAGAGCCCTAGCAAGACTGATATCACTGGGAATCAGGATGAAAATACTGCTCTGGTCCAGTTGAGTATCTTGGTCTTTGGTAATCTCCAGATTGTTGACAGTGAAGGATTCAGCAGTGATAATGCCATTGAACTTCAAGGGGGTGTGGGGTGAGGGTGGTGCTTAAAATCTCACTTAGTGGAGTTGGTCTTTCTTTGCCACTTGTGACTTGTATATTCATAGAATTGTAAAGTGCAGAAAATGCTCTTCAACCTATTGAGTCTGTACCGTCACTTATTACCGCAAGCCTGAATGCGGTTTGGTTTTGACTGCATTTATGCATTGAAATTGAAATCTAATAATCCAGCTGTTAACCAGTTGCATGCAGCACTCACTCCATGTATTAAACTTTAATTGCAGGGGACCCACTGGAGTGCAGTGCCTGGGTTGGACAGTGTGCACTTTACCTGTTAATTATGATGTTGGAGAAGACTGTGGTGATTGTGGTGCTGCTCTTACCTCAGTGGAAGAAGGTTTGTATTCATTGTCCACTTCCTCTTCAACCCCAACTCAAATTGAACTCATCTGTGTTACTGAACTTTCTTACACTTTTGATTCCTTTGGGATGTGGACATTCATGACTAGGCTGTTCATTACCCGTCTGTAATTGCCCTTAGAAAAGTGCAAGCGTGCTCCCATCTTGAACTGTTACAGTCCCATTTGGTGAAGGTACACCCGTAGTGCTGTTAGGAAGGGATTACAGAGTTCAGATCTAATCCATTGGTTTGTGGGATCACTAGTTGTAACTAGTGCATGCCGCGTGTGCTGCTTAGCATGCAGGTAGTCCTGTGTTTTGGCTCCATTAGTTTGCTATCGCATTTTTAGATATGCTTGGTACTGCTCCTGGTATAACCTCCTCCACCCTCATTGAACCAGTATTGATCCCCTGAATTAGTGGTAACGGTAGTCTGGCATATACTAGGCCATGTGGTTATAGATTGTGTCTGAATACAATTCTGCTGCTTCTGATTTCCCACAACACATCATGGATGTCCAGTATTAAATTGCAACATCTATTTGAAATCCATTCTATTTAGCCCAGTTCATAAGGATTGTGTGCTGGCCTCTCCTAGCCGTGGACAGATGCATCAGCTACAGTACATTGAGGGTGAGATCAAGTTCATTCTCCCTCTTGTTGGTTCCCTCACCACCAGCTGCAGTCCCAAATGAGCAGCTCTGTCCTTTAGAACTCAACCAACTCATCAAGTTTCATAATGAATGTTGAAGAACCTCAGTTAGAGTACATATTTTGCCCTTTGCCACCCTCAGTATTTCCTGTATGTGGCTTTCAGCCTGGAGCAGTACTGATCCCTGAGTTGAGAGGGGGTGGTGGGTATGTTCTTTTAATTCATCCAGGAAATGTGGGCATTGGTTAGGCCACCATAAATTGTTCATCCCTAATTGCCCAGAGATAAGAATCAACCACATTGCTGTGGGTCTGTAGTCACATCTGGGCTAGACCAGGTAAGGACAGCAGATTTCCTTCCCTAAAGGACATTAGTGAACGAGGCAGGTTTTTCCAACAATTGGCAATGGTTTCGTGGTCACTGTTAGATCTAATTCCAAACTTTTAAAAATCCCACACGGGATTCAAACCCGGGTCCTCAGAACATGACCCAGATCTCTGTGTTAATAGATCTAGTGATAATATTACTAAGCCATCACCTCCCCTTATCAGCAGGAGCTTTCCTTGGCTATGTTTGACCTGATGCTGTGTGACTTCATGGGGTCTGGAATCAGTATTGAGGACCCCTTGAGTAACTCCCTCATTAGGACAGGAGATCATGATCTACGTTCCCTGTAATTTTTAAAGATCCATTCCGCAGCAGTGGTTTACAGAACTAGAAGTTAATGTGTTCACAAGTTGATCAGCGTGCACGGATCCTCCAAGTGCTTTTACAGCCACACAGCTTCAAGGGAACATTGACCATGATGGTGTTTGAGCAACCGAATCATACCTTACAGATAGTGTCATGCTGGTGCTCCTCTATTCTGAGACAATGCCGTCTAGTCCTAGACTCTCTCATGAGGGGAAACATCCTCAGTATTTACTCTGTCAAGTCCCATAAGAATTGTACATGTTTCAATGCAATCACCTCTCATTCTTTTAAATTCCAATGAGCAGAATCTCAACCTGTTTAACCTTTGCTCATAAGACAATCCCTCCTAGTGAACCTTTACTGAACTGCCTCCAGTGAAATAATACCTTTTCTTAGATACGGGGATAAAAACTGCTTACAGTACTCCAGATGTGGTCTCACTAGCACCTTGTACAGCCGCAGCAAGACTTTCCCATTCTTATACTTCAATCCCCTTGAAATAAGGGTCATCATTCCAACAACCTTCCTGATTATCTTCTGCACTTGTGTGCTAGCTTTCTGTATTTCTTCCTATAATACTCGCAGGTCCCTTCATGTTGCAGTATTCTGCAGTTTTCTCCATTCAAATAATATCGTTCTTTTGTTCTCCCTTCCAAAGAGAAAAATTCACATTTTCCCATATTATACTCCATTTGCCAACTTTTTAACCACTTACTTAACACCTGACGAAGGGGCTACATTCTGAAAGCTTGTGATTTCAAATAAACCTGTTGGACTATAACCTGGTGTCATCTGATATCTGACTTTGTCCACTTCAGTTCAACATCAGTACCTCCACATCTCTGTAAACTGTTTGTATCCCTTTCACAATTTGCCTTTCCATCTCTTTTTGTGTTGTCTGTAAATTTGGCTACAGTACATTCGATTCCTTCTTCCAAGTCCTGTGGAATGCCATTGGGTGCAAATTGCCAACCTGAAAAGAGTCAAGTGACTCTTCGTCAGAACATACAAAAAGATACAGATAGTTTAAGTGAGTGGTGAAAGATATAGCAAATGGAATATCATGTGGAAAAATGTGAAATTGTCCATTTTGGCAGGAAGAACAAAAAGCATTTGATCTAATTGGTGAGAAAATGAGGAGCTCTGAGATAGAGTAATAATGTCTACAGCACAGAACAAGGTGCTTTGGTCCATCAAGTTTGCGCCAGTCAAAAACAAGCACCTATCTGTTCTAATCCCAGAGGGATCTGAGGGTCCTTATCCAAGAATTGTAAAAGGTTGGTTTGCAGGTTCAGCAAGTAATTAGGAAAGGTAATGAAATGATATCACTTATTGCAAGATGACTAGAATACAGAAATGAGGTTATGTTTCAGTTATCCAGGACATTAGTGAGATAACACCTGAAGTACTGTGCACAGTTTTTGATCGCTTTATTTAAGTAAATACATTGGAGGTAGTTTAGAGAAAATATATTGGACTAGAACCTAGAGTGGATGATTTGTCTTTTCAGGAAAGGTTGAACAAGCCAGTCTTGCATCCACTGGAGTTTAAAAGGGTAAGAGGTTATATAATATCCTAATGAGACCTGAACAGGTAGAGATGGAGCAGATGTTATCTCTGATGAGATGATCTACAACTCAGCTGTTTGAAAATCAGGGGCAATTACTTAAAACAGAGATAGTGTCAGACCCAGACTCTTCTGTCCGACTTGTCCATGCCGATGAGGTATCCTAAACTCATCCCGTTCCACTTGCCAGCATTTGGCCCATATCCATCGAAACCCTTCCTATTCATATTCCTATCTAGATGCCTTTTAAATGTTGTAATTCTACCCGCATCCACCACTTCCTCTGGCGGCTCGTTCTATACACACAGCACCATCTGCATGAAAAGGTTGCCCCACAAGTTCCTTTTGGATCTTTCCCCTCTCACCTTAAACCTATGCCCTTCAGCTTTGGACTCCCCTAACCTGGGGAAAAGACCTTGGTTATTCACCCTACCTATGCCCCCCATGACTTTATAATCTTCTGGAGGATGAGAAGGGGGATTTAATAATGCGAAATGAGGAAATAGCCAAGGTGTTGAACAGGTATTTTGTGTCAGTCTTCACTGTGGAAGACACAAATAACATGCCAATAATTGATGACAAGGAGGCTATGGCAGGTGAGAATCAACAAAAAAATCATTATCACTAAAGAGGTATTGTTGGACAAGTTACTGCTGTTAAAGTTGGATCTGGCGCTGTTGGAATGCATCCCAGGGTACTAAAGAGAGGGCAGTGGAAATAACAAATGTACTCGTGGTAATTTACCAAAATTTGCTGGACTCTGAGGCGGTTCCAGTAACTATACGCCCATTAGCTTAACTTCTGTAGTGGGGAAAATGCTTGAATCTATAATCAAGGAAGAAATAGTGAGAACAAAAACAGAAGTTGCTGGAAAAGCTCAGCTGGTCTGGCAGCATCTGTGAAGAAAAAAAATCAAAGTTACTCTGATTTTTCTTCACAGTCTATGAGCTGACACGGAGCTAGCTGGGTGAGTGTCAGGTTTTCTGCACATGTAAGTAAAGGGTGACTTGGTAACAGGGTACCAGCCTTTGAGGTATTATTTCAGTGATGACGAGAGAAAAACACGCCCCTAAAGAGATTAACTTGCAACAGTAGTCTTTGAGTTGGGGTAAGCATTTCTGACATCTTGCCACTATTTGGGAAGCTTTACTCATTTGATCTTGCCGTCAAAGACTGAGCCCAGTATGTGGAAGGAATACATATTTTTTCTGCGTAAATGACATTGGGGCAGATGAAAAGCAACAAGTAATTCTTATGACCCCTGCGGGTCCGCAAGCATTTTCGGTTATCAGAAGTCTGACCTTCCCAGAGACACCAGATACTAAAACCTTTCAAGAGTTGACAGATTTAGCTAAGGAATATTACAACCCTAAGCCTCCTCTAATTCTCAAACTGCCTAGTAAAACCGATAGCATATGAGACCCAGGGGAATCCTTGTTGGGATTTTTGCTGAGGTTAAGATAACTGGCAGAGGCATGTAATTTTAGTTTAACCCTAAGTGATACGCCGAAAGACTGTTTGGTATGTTGCATTAATGATGTGGCCATGCAAAAGCACCTCCTAGCTGAAGCTGAACTGGACTTCATACAGGCAGTACAGCTGGCTTTGTCATGAGAAAATGTGGCAAGTGGAGCTTATGAGTTACAGCATATTCTGATGGAAGTGGAAACTCTCACCGGGCCAACTGAGCTTGGGGAGCACCACTTGAATGAAGATAATAGCATTGCCTCACTCAATACATATCCTGAACAGAGGGACTCCAGGTAATCCCGGAGCAAATCCCAAAACAAAGCCAAGCCTCATTCAGACAGTAGGCCATTGTAGTTGCTGCTGCTATGCAGACTTGAGACAGCAAAAGAGTCCCACTGGGCCTGAATTGAGTAACAGACCTCATAGGCCGGTATCCAGGCAAGTGCACACCCTGAAAAGTTCACATACAGCTGCTTTGGAACAGTTAAGTTGCTTAGCAGCATGTAAATCAGAGCCAGTCAAAATAAACGTCTGGTTAAATGGTCACCCAGTTCTAATGGAGGTTGATATGGGTGTGACTGTATCAGTGATTGCAGAACCAGTCATTACCAAAATT